CGGTACTCGAGTGATGAGGGACATATCGAGATTATGTTGTCAAATTAAAAAATGGCAAATGAAGTTAGAAATATTAATCAAAAGGTAGAAATTTTTCAAAAAAGTTTACTTGACCCTGGACAGCGGTCACTTCGGAAGGGGCCAGGATCTGGGAAACTCGTTGGGGGATCCAGAGTGCCCAAGCTCCGACACCAAACTCATCCTATGGTGAGAGCCGGTTTGGGTCAACGGCAACTGGTTCAGAGCCATGTGTGCATGGATGGTTAAGGTTCGTGAGACTTATGGAAATTGGAAATACAAAAGTAAAGGTTGACTTACCACTTCTTCCAGATTTTGATTGATGGAAGCTTCTCCCAATTTAAAAGAACATAGCTCTGCAATTGAAACCCCAAGACAGCCGGCAGCAGGAGGACCGATCGCAGGAGGGCAGTCGGTAGGTCCCACCGCGTAAGGGCCGACCCTCCCATGGGTTGTCGGTTGGTGGTTGTTGTTGAGTTTTTTCAGAAGGTGTTGGCAGTGTTGGTTCAATGTGTCGTTCGGGAGGATCGACAGTCGCATCTGGTCGGACGGCCGTGGTATCAGGGGCATTTTGAGTCTATAAGAAGTTTCCAACAGATCGATTAGGTAAAATTTCGGGAATTGAAATTAAGGATCAAAATATTACTTAATGGGTTCGGTGGCGTAACGAAGGGGGTTTCAGGATTCGTCGGTTGAGGAGGAGTCTGCCTCCCGATCGGTTCCTCTGACCGACTGATCATTGGCGATTCTCCTTGGGAAAGAACAAGAGATAGTTCCGGTGCCAGTACCTATAAAAGAGAATCGTGAGAATGTGATGTCCAAATTATTGAAGATATTGCGAAAAAGAAGCACGAAGTACCGATTGTTCAAGATTAACAAGTGGATCATTGGTTGTTCCGATTGGGGGAGCAATCGGTGCAGAAGTCGGGTGAGGAGGCAGAGACGGCCTGACTATAAAGATGACTTGTTAGACAAAGATAAACATAATTATACAAACATGTGAATCTGGGACTTATTGAAACCACTTCGGATATTGGGGGGCATCCAATGTGTGTCGATGGGCAGAGAGACCAAGTAGTCTTCTACTGCCCGACGGTCCGTCGGTTCGGTTAGTTTGGTTTGTGAGATTGTTCTCATTCTCTTCTTTTTTCGGATGCTTAGGCTGTCACCCGTGGCAGCCGCTCGTATTTTTCTCGGTGCTGGCACAGGGCGAGATAAGACCAGCGCTGGTGTTGGTGTCAGGATCGTCAACATTTGGTCGGATGACAGGACAATCAAGACCCATGTGGTCGACCACCAATCTCTGAAGGGTTCAATGGTTTGAGATTAGGTTTTGAAATTGAGGTAGGAGTTAGACATGATATAGGTTGAGAGTTGGGTCAGGTATGGTTGTATGAGCTCAGGGATAACAAGGCCGTCTGGGCTCTAGGCTATCAGATGAGGACGAGCAAGTGGGCCGGGAAGGCCTTGGCAGCAGCCGAACTGACGTGCCAGATATTAAGGTTGGTAGTTAAAGGTATAGAAGGACGTATTGCCTTTTTTCTCCATTCTTTTTCTTGGAAAAAAGGATCTCAGTTTTAAGGCGGCATCCCAGGAAAAGGGGTAGGTCGGATGAGGTAGTGGATCCGGGTATGGCAAAGGGTAATCAGAGTCTGGATAGGGTCAGAAGAGTTCGGTAGCATATTGCACAAAACTTTCATAGACATAAAAATGAGAGTTACTACGGTTGTCATAAGTAATTTGTTAGATAATTGGGTCGGAAGGTTTTAAGTCGGATAATTTCGGAGACATGAAAGCAAAGGTTAGACAAAGAGAACGATCGGGTCCTGGATTTTTGGGTGGACGGCCATAGAAGGCGATTGGGAAGTATAAGTGAAGCCAGCGTTCAAGAAACCAAAAGAGGCCTGAGGCAACCGTATCTAATTGTTTAACATCAGAAAGACAGATGCTGACTCGGGATAGACCTTAAAAAAGGTTGGCGAGAAAGAGGGTTCCGATCGAGAAGTGCCGACCGAAAACAATGTGGATTGCTAAGTCCAAGTGAGAAGGAAGAATGCACTTAGAAGAGAAAAGAATGACATACCTACAGAGCCAAAATAGTATGAAGACAGTATGTTCACGGTCAGTCACAGGGGCACCTGATTCTCCTTGGAAGTTGGTTATGAACTTGGTCCACCCTTTGTCTTGAAGGTTGGACAACAACCAGCCAACGTGGTCAGATGCAGGTTCCTGGCCGTTGAAGGACCCGACCACTGGGTCTTTGCCCACGATGGGGAGATGGGGGATCATAGCCACATCCATCAGTGTTGGACCCATAGGGCCAGCAGGCAAGAGAAAGACGCCGATTTCTTGATTCCATAAAGCGGCCTTAGCTAGCAGAACCTTATAATGGAGACGAAGTGCTTTAGTGAAAAGAAGAATGACCTTGTCAATTCCCTTGCGTTTCCATTGCTCCTAAAACTGGGGTAGTAGCCTAGAATGCGAGGTGTGAACCCTATCTTTGAGGTCGTTGAGGTGAGTTTTGATAGTGTCTAAAAGACGAGAGGGGTTGAAAGTAGCATTCTTGATGGCAAGGGAAGTTCCTTGTTCGAGGATATTTCTCATTCGGGACGCATCTTCGGTGGTTGTACAGTAAGGACGAATGGTGAGGGTTAACACTCTGGACAAAACAAAAGGGGTTTCCAGATCGAAGCCATCGAAAGGAAGAGTAGGAACATATTGCTTGGTCATGAGGATAAAAGCGCAGGATAGGAAAAGTGCTTTGTGATTAGGAAGACGAAAGACTAGATTTGATGAATGGCAAAGGAAAAGTTGATGAAGACGAATGATTGAGTTCAACAAATGATGAAGAAGAAGTGAGTTGTTGTGAGGGAAAGGGTTTCTGTAAAACCCTGTGATTGGACTCGGAACGGAGTAATGATTACACTGTTGCTTTGAGTCTCAAACTTCCAAACATCCCATCTCACGATGACCAAGGTATGACGTTTGGAAGTCAGGCGGAGAAGGGGCAAGTTGTTGAGTATAAAAATTTAAAGTTAGGGTTTTGACCCAAGAAAAGGAAAGGGTGTGGGTCTAGTGGTGGACCAGGAGTGAATTTTGGTAGGTTCGACTTACAGAACCCAACATACCACCAGATTCGTTTGGTTGGCACATCAGGTAAGGGGGCCATCCAAATTCGATTACTAGGTCAGATGGTTGTGAAGGAAATGATTGAAACTATTGATTGGTCGGTTGTGGTTACGTCTCGTAGAAGTTTTCCTGAAGGCAACCGACGTTAGTGTGGACAGGGTAACCAACGCCGGTTCAATGCACGACTTTGGGTAACCGACTCAAAGACAGTTTCGGACGGTTCAAGTGGTACTTTATTTAACAAATTGATGGAGGATGGAAAAATCATCTTCAATCATCTCACGAAAAGTCTTATTGAGGATCACTTTTCTCAATTTTTAATGTATTTTCTAGTTCTTTATATATTTTGTTTTAGGGATATGTGATCTCTGACACTCTTTTATTTCAAGTTCGGAATATATTTCCAAAATTGCCTTTTTTATTGTTGAAAATCCACATCAACAACATGAAATGTGAATTCTATAATAATAAAGGCAATTTGAAACATACAAGAATGAGACTTACTCAGATCGACGCTAAGACCCCGCCAGTTACCTATGTTGCACCACTTGCAGTCGCAATGGCGATGAGCAGGCCCTTTCCATGGCGTGGCCTAAATTGTGGGCAAGGCCATAAAATTTTTGCAACAATCCTCAATCCTAGGGATTGTACCGACGGTGACGGCGACGTAAAAGCTCACTTGCGCGACAACGATTTTCCAATCGGCGGCAGGTGGACAAGCGAGGTCGGAGAGTGAGAGATCCAATTGCAGTTGGGTTTCTGAGGTTGAATGAGATGGAATGGATAAGATAGGCAGATGGTGTGTAGTATAGTACTATTATTTTTTGGAATGAAAATATTTATAATTTTTTTTTTTTTGGATTTGGAATTAAAAAATAGGCTAAACGAACAGAGTGATTATTTGTTTGTATATAAAATAATAATTAAAGATATTTTATATTTTATTTTAAAAATATTTAATTGTGTTCTTTTGTTGCAAGAATTTTTATTATTAATTATTTAAAATTTTGAAAGTGATACTAAAATATTTGTTTTTGTTATCGTTTTAGATATTTTGTAAGAAAATTAATGTATTTAAAAAAATATGAGTATTTTTTCATTTGAAATGATATAAAATGTAAAAGAACAAATCATTCCTCTATACCTATGTTTTTAGGTTAATTCTTAGTTAATTTATTTATTTAGCAAATTTATTATTTTTAATTAAAAAATTATGTGAATATATTTAACTAAATTAATAATGCAACTATTTGCCTTGATCAAATAGCAAAAAGTTATTGTTGTCGAACCAACACCCTCACAAGCTACTACATACAATATAAAATTAAAGGTGTTTTTAAAAAAAAAAAAAAAAAAAAGACGTATAGATTTGTTACTTGAATTTATTTTTTTAAACAACTTTCCATAAATTTTATTAAAAAATAGGATATACATACGTTAACATAATATATATTTTTATCTATTTACAAAAAATTAACAATTTAATACAAAATATTATTATTTTTTATATTACTAACACAATTTTTTATATCTTAACTAAAAAAGACATCAACCCAAAGAAGACAAACTGAACAAATCTATCTTGTGTATTTACAATTTTTCAGTGATCACAAACCGTAAATATTTATACAAGATATTTCATTAATACTATGTTAAAAGCATAACAAACATAGACATTTTAGCCTCGTTTATTTCCTATTTTGAATATACATTTTGGTGTAAATATCCAAGTATATATAAGAGCATAAGCATAAGGTGTGTTACCTTTTTGCAGGAATTAGGCAACTCGTTCACACAGAAAAGTTGTTCATCTATCTCCTGCAATGATTATTATTATTACTATTACTATTATCATTACTTTTCATTAAAAACAAGAAAAAGAGTTGGAAACAATTCATATAACTTCAAGACAAGATTAGAAAACTGTGATGCAAATTGATTATGGTGCCAAAGATCTGTCGAAGAGGAGATGAACATGTCGATAATGATCAGCATAGCTCAGGAGTGGGAGTGGGAGTGGGAATGGGCCATAGGAGATCTTACACAGATGGATTCTGGACAGCCTATGGCCCTTGCTTAATTAGCTACATAATATATATATGGATATTGATATGGATATGGATATGGCGTGGTGTATATAAATTATGTAATAGAACAAGAGTATGGATACAGATCAGATCACGACCCTATCTATCATATCTGGTCCCGACTGTCTATGTATTTAATGTTGATTAATACCTGCAACTTGGCTACATGTTGGTCATCTAACAAAAAACAATCTGCATCTGCCCTAATCGAGGATTCAGTTCATCAACAAAAGGCTTTTATAAATGATGATAGTCGATTTCCCGGACATGTAACTTGTACTCCGACTTGTAATAAGAGAAAAACATTGTACAGCTTACTTGTCAAACTGTAAGTTATTGAATCTATCCCTCCTCTAAAAAAAAGTGTCAGTGAGCAGGTAAAATAACATCTTGTATGTAAGAAATTTCCCACATATATCATTTATATCCACCTTGTGTCTACAACATATATAAATGTTTTGACAAAGAACTGAACAATAAGATTCAGTGTAATTTGTACCAAGTTTATCAAATTTTTTTATGGGGTTTGGTCGAATTACTGTCTTTTAATGTGATTCAACAGTGCTCTAATGTGATTTAATCCTTTACACCATACTTCAATAATTTTTTGTTAATCAATATATATGGCAACATATTTCAACAGGCTCATAATAGAGTTCAATAATTCACAATACGGTGCAAATGTTTCATACAAATATCTCTTATAAGACATAATTTTTATACTGTTCAAAGCCACAGTTGTAAACAAAATTCAGGACATAATTCATCCCTAAAAATCTAACCTTTTGGTCTACAAAATACTTTTTTGCTTAAAGTAGATAGAGATGTTTTCACCCGCTATGTTCTCTTAACTATTTCTGCCCATATGATTATGAATAAATAGAGAATCGAGCGCATCTATCCTCACAAAGAATAAATTCTATGAAACTAATCATCAGCAATAATATGCAAATAACTCTTCCAAGAATGAACTAATAATCAAACTACTACTACTTCCTAAAATGTAATGACTAAAGGATGCTCATAAATGTAAAATTTAACTAACTAAATCAAAGAAAGAGAGTCAGATATATTACCTGTTGTTGGCAGAGTGCTCGGCTGAAACTGACTCGGCTGATTATTCCTTCCAGGACATGGATAGTATGGTGATCAGCCTATTTGCCGAGAGTCTCTGCAGAGCCTTTTTGGCTCCCGGAACATCCATCTCCCCTAATCTCTTTAAGTGCCCGCAAACACCAGCTGCCACTAGCTTCTTTCGACAGGCCTGGCTTCCCCTGGCCATTACAGCTGCCACAATAGCCACCGGGAATTTCTTTGACACTACTTCATTTTCAGGATCCAACATTTTTACCAGCCTCGACAGACACTCGTCATCCCTCACAAATGCTTTTCTGTTGGACTTCACCGACAATACAGTAACCAATGCTTTCGCCGCAACTTCTTGAATCCCATTTGGTTTTACAGTCTCCATTAGCTTCAACAAAGAAGATATGCACCCGGAAATGGAAATGGGAGTTTTACCACTATCATTAACTGGTAACTTAGCAAGCAGAGATGCAGCTATGTGCTGCAGCCTGATTAGTTTCCCATACTGTATGAGCTCTGCAATTCGTGCTACGAACATGGTTGATTCGCATAAATACCGGCAGGTAGCATCCGAGGTAGATAAGGAATAAATAGCACGCAAGACATGTTCTAATGTATTTGCAGTTGGGCATTCGTGAAATAAATGCAACAATTTCGACAAGCACTGCTCCTTTAAGAACAAGTCGCGGAAATGCTCACCAGAGGAAGCTAGAATCGATATGCAGTTGGCCGATTTCAGTTGAGCCGAAGCGTTGCCAGAAACAAGCAACTGCATTAGAACAGGGATGGCTCCTTCTTCTGCTAGAGCAATCTGAATATCTTCGACTATGGAAATGTTCCTGATTGAACCAATTGCGTGTGATTGAGCAGTAGGAGTACCTGATTTGCACAATTCGACAAGAATCGGAACGCCTCCGTAAGCAGAAATTGCCCAAGCGTGGTCGGACTGAGAGGTAATGAATTCCACCGCCATGGCCGCTTTTTCCTTCATCAGAATCGAGCTGCAATCAATTGTTCTCAGTAGAGGACCGAGGGCGCCTTCTTCGAAGACGCATTTCCGAGGCAAATCGCCGGCGGAAACAAGCAGTGAAAGCGCGTGAACCACTAATTCTCTGATGGAATCGTGGCTGTTGGAATCGAGCAAGGAAATCAAGCAGTTGAGATTTCCCTCTTTCGCGACAATCACGGCGGAGCTAAGATCCTCTGATAAGATTTGAATCAGTGAATCCAAGGCTTTCCGCTTGAACTCCAGGCCGCCGATCTGCAATCTAGCGAAGAGGTCTTTGACGAAGAAAGTAAGCTCCTCAGTGGAAGAGTTCCCATTGGGGCGAGACGGAACAATGGCGGTGGACTGACTAAGAACTCCGGAGCGGATGAGGAGCTCCAAGTCATTAATCTGCTTCGAGAGCCAACCCGCGGCCATGTCGAGGTCCGATTGCATCAGCAGCTTGCCGCGGCTGAAGGACGCGTCGGAGCATTGTCGGCATAGGATTTCGACGCGGAGGAGCGTGGAGGTCAACGCGGAGAGAAGCGGCTGAAGGAGAGGATTCTCCGACCGTGGCGCCGAGTCGGCAATTTCGCCGACTATGGATTTAAGCGACGCGAGCTTCACACGCAGGACTTGCCATCTCGAACCGAAGCTATTTATGGAGACCGTGGAGGGGATTAGCCTGTTGAGCACTTCCACTACCTCCTCCAGTGCTCCGGAGGCGGAAGGCTCCGAAGACGACGGTTGCGGCGGCAGGCGGATGGCGGCGGAATCCATTGTGATCTTTTGTGAAAACTTTACATGTGTGGACGCGGGAATTTTATACATAAAGGTGTCAGTGGTCCCAATGAAATGGTCAAATATTAAAAAAAAAAATGAAAAAGAGGTCTATCGAATTTTGTCAATAATTTAGAGGTGTGTATTCATTTTATTGAATTTGTATTAATTTTAAATAGGTAAAGGATTTAAATGAATTTTTACCGATTTAATGAAATTTTTTATGAATTTATATGAAGTTGGTAGGATTATAAAATAATTTTTTTTATTAATTTATATAATTATACAAATTTATCTCAACACAAATTTTATAAATAAAATATATTAATATTTAAAATTATTATATATTATTGTATTTTTATAAAATAAAGTTAATATTAATAAAATAATATATAATTATTAATAATGTAAAAATACTATAATATATATTATTACTATTATTTTGTATATTAATATTTTTAATTTTTATTATATTATCATTCGATATATCAATTTATTTTTATATTTATTATTAGTTATTAATATTATTTTTATTTATATAATTTTTACATAAAAATAAATATATAGATAAAATAAAAAACTACGTTTACAATTTTTGAGAAAAGATAAAATAAAAATAAAATTAAAAATAAATAAATATAACTAACAGTTTAACAAAGAAAAATTATGTATATCTAATTAACTTTAACAATAATATAGTGTATTCGATAAATGAAAATGAAAAAAAGATAATAATACATATTTATTATGATAATGGTATTTTTTAAATATTATATTTATAATATAAAAATAAATATTTTCAAAAAAAAAGTTAATAATAATTTGCTGATATATTTTAATTTTAAATTATTTTTTACTAAATATTTGTAATATTATTAATAAATATTATCATATTATTTATAGTTTATATATCATCAACTACAATAACAATAATAATAATAATAATTATTATTATTATTATTATTTTAAAAATCCATCAAAATCTCTTCGTTTCAGGAGAGATTTTCTCATTTACAAAATTTTCATAATTATCTATCAAAATCCAATAAAATTCATATAAAAGTTTATGAATTGTTGAATATATCAAAATTTTTAAGTAAAATTGTCCATAACTCCACTGTGGTTTCTAAATTCAGCGTAAATTTCCCATCTACTTTAAAAATTGCATGACACCGCCTTATACTTTAAAAAATGTTACATGAAACTACTATGTGGTTTCGAAACTTAGCATAAATCCCGACTTTACTTTAAAAAATTGCATGACGCTCCCTTATACTTTCAAAAATATTGCATGAAATCCACCTGTCATGCAAAACATATAGATAGGAAATCATTTTTTAATCACACGAGGAAAGTTTTATGGTGGTGGGTTTCATGCAACGTTTTTTAATAATATAAGGGGGTACCATGCAATTTTTAAAGTATAGGCAGATTTTACACTGAATTTCAAAACCACAAGGGAGTTATAAGCAATTTTACCAAATTTTAAAAGATTTTTAAATGTTTGGATTGAATACACTCAGATTTCAAAAGACTTTAAAAAGTTTGAATTGAATACGTCTTTGAATTGAATACACTCAGATTTCAAAAGACCTTTAAAAATTTGAATTGAATACGTCCAGATTGTAAAAGACTTTTAAAAGTTTGAAAAAAATCCTACAGAGTTGTGATTTAATACACCCCGCTTAGTCGTATTAAAAATTATTGTGGTGAGATACCCTGTTGAACATTAAGAATCAATACGATGCTGATTGCATATTAGTTATTGGATTAGAACTTTTAATCCAATGACTTGCATTAAATTAAGGTGGTAATAGTAATTTTTAATTTTCTTAATTTAAATAACTACCTCAAGTCTCATTCTTCTTGTTCTTCGACGCAACGTTCGCTAGGAAACACAAACGTGTCATTCCAACATACTTTGAGAAAAATCAATTATCTATTATTTCAATCCTAATCAATCGTGCAACAAGCAGTGGAGACATCAAAGAGATTGCAATTTCGGATACTCCAAGACCCTCGCCAAGTTCAAACGTTGCGGAACTAGAAATTACTCAATCATGTACGTTACTTCTCTACAATTGATTTGACATCGTGAACTCCTTTTGTAATTTATTTGATTGAATTTACTTGTTTCAGTTTATTAAATTGGATTATGGGGTCTTTAGTCAAATTCAGATAATAGTTTATATAATTATGTTAATCTAATTGCTTTAATTATTTTTTAAGATTTAGATATTAACAGAACTATCAGAATCACGCGTCCTGTGTGATAAGAATTTCTAAATATGTATTAACAATCGTATTTTAATTAAAACATTGAAATTATTGTTAAATAAAATAATGTAGCATACCGTAATTAACATCAACATTTACCTATGAAGAGAATAACATCTTGTATTGTGTTACACAACATGATATGTGATGGTCTTAAATACGAAACATCTTGCTATTTATGAAAAAGCATTTTATAATACAACAGTCAGCATTTTGATACAATTTGTAAAATCGGAGGATGGATACAATTTCTATTGTGAGCATGCACACAATAGGGGCTTTTCAGTAAAGATAAAAATACATAAAAAAATTCAAAAAGGACCCGCACCAGATACAATATATGGAATATTATTACAACAAAGAGAGGTTCATAGAGGGGAGAAATATGAAACCAAATCATCCGAGATTCATCCAAAACAATGCAGCGAGTTAGGAAGGATCAATAGTATGCATCGTAATCATGTAACGAGAACAGATTGTAATTCAAAGATATAACTTCAACTCGACAAGGAAAATGCAAAGTACAAACTGATATACTTTGAAAACAACCACAATCATGATCTACATCCTACAAAACACAAGCGCATGCTTGTATCCAACCGTAGGATTGATGAATCAAATTTAATAATTGCAAATACAAATCAAGAAGTTGGTCTACCAATTAGATCATCGTATGATTTGATGAAAATAACTGCCGGAGGAAAAGAAAATGTAGGATTTCTGAATTTAGACTTGAAAAATCACATAAAGAAAAAATGAAAGAAATATTTTCAATGAGGGTGGAGCAAATTCATTACTGCAATACTTCAACCAAAGATCAATGGATAATCTTTTTTTTTTCTTTTATAAAATTGATGTGGATTCTAAAGATAAAATTGTTAATATATTTTTGTCATATGCTAAAATGAGGGAAGACTACACATTGTTTGAGGATTTTATTATGTTTAATACCACGTACCAAAAAAATAAGAACTACGGGCCACTAGGTAAACACACAATGTTTTTCTCTTTATATAGTCAGTATTTCATCTTTCATTACTCGGCATTTTAAATTCTATGTATCAACATCTTGGTACACTATACACAACATCTCGTAAGTTGTTTTTCATATATCTAATCCTAACAATATTGCAACATCAGGTGTTTTCGTGGAATTAATAACCACCGCCAAACATCTATATTTGGGGCAACATTTTTGTACGAGGAAACACAAGATTCATTCAAGTGGATTTTCAATACCTTCTTGAAGTGCATGGGCGACCAAGTACCAAAAACTATTTTTACGAATCAAGATTTAACTATGGCTTCAGCACTAATAGAGACAATGTTAATGACATACCATCCTCTGTGCACATGGCATATTGTACAAAATGCCAAAAAAAATCTCAGTACTCTTTACACTGTAAGGTATGTTAGAAATAACACAACTAAATGATGAATTTAAGAATCGAAGATCCCAATTACAACTATTCTACTTGGTTTGTACACACAGGTTTGCTGAAATATTTTAACATATTCTCTATGGTGTACATGATGAAAACCAATTCAACCTTCAATGGAAATATATGTTGCAAGAATGCTTCCCCAAAAGGTCTCATAAGTGGCTATTAAACATTCATTCATTAAGACAACAATGGTCTTCGGCTTGGACAAGACAACACTTTACTACAGGGATGGGAACCACATAACTGAGTGAATCGCTTAACTTATCATTGAAAATGTTTGAAAATGCAATTTACACGCCCCTATGCTTTATATAACTGAACACGCTTCTTCAGTTGACTCCTATGCTGACAGTAATATATTAATATGTTGAATATAGATTTCATATATGTTGTCGGATGACACTGAATATGTTGAACAGGTTCTTACAGCCAAACAATAGCATTGTTCAATTTTTTTCATCAATTTTAAAGAGTGGTAGAGAATCATAGAGAAAAAGAGGAATAACAGGATTTCTTCACACGGGATAGATGGTTAGCTAAAAATCATATGTTCAACCCATTGATGAAATCTGCAGCCATGTTCTAACACATTGAATGCCTTTCAATGGTTTCAAGAGAAACACCAAAGATCATTTGAATTCATAACACAATGCTTAGATGAGAAGACAACATATCTTGTATGTAACATGGAGAAGACAGGCGATCAACATCTTGTTCACGTCAATGTTAAGAGTCTTTGATTGTTTTCACGTGCAACATATGGAAAAATATTGGAATGTTGTGTTGTCATTCAATACGCACGATGGATTAATTAGTAGCAACAGGCTGTGCACAATTCAAAAACATCCCAAGCAAATACATATTGAATCAATGGAGAGAAGATGCTAGAAGGATGTTAAAGCAGCACCACGCAAGCTTAACATCTAGTCCGGAGGAAATGGATTTTTCAGGAAGATACAAATCATTGTGTCACTTGTTCATGAGTTCTGCAAAGTTAATAGCTTCTAAGCCGAAGAATTAGAATTCATTCTTAGATAAATTCAATTAATTACTTCACAACATAATTACATGCCCAAATATGTATGGAAAAATGCCGACAAATGAAAATAATAGTCATGTTTCATATATAATTTATATTTATTGAAATGTATTTGATATTAAATTAATCAATTGTTCATGTTACAGGAGAAGTACATAATACAACCACTACAATCAATTTAATATTGAAGCCAAGAGACAATTCAAAAGGAAGAATTAAGAAAAAAGTGTCAATCAACAACTATGGGAGACAAAAGAAGCATAGAAGGATGAATAAGAGAGATAACCAGCAGGATAAAAACAAGGAAATTGATTTTTCATTAGCTCATACATGATTTAGTTGCAAAATATTATGAGCAAAGTATATTAAGCACTTACATATACAAGGCTAAGCATTTTGTTGAATGCTAATAAGTATTTTCTACAAATGTATTTAGCATGTTAATGTACTATCAAATGAGATGAATATTATCCAAAAAATACCATAAAAAGTAAACTGTAAACATGCTTTCCACCAAAATATATTGCCTAATAACAAAAACATAAAATGATGGATAAGAATTTACATTTACTGAATCCAACATTTTATTTAATATCATTAAGCATTTCCATGTATTGCTATTCAACATTGTACTGCTACCATTCTAAACCTGCTAGCATTTATATATACTGAGCCAAGAATTTTATTAGATACCGATAAGCATTTTTTGTTTTAACAAGCTGCATAAGTGTTAAGCATAAATTGATAAAAAAAATGCGAACTCAATAGACAATTCACCCATTCAAATTCAATCCATCGATCAATACCAACAATCCATTCAAATTCAATTAATAAAAGTTAATAAAAGTCAACAAACCAATCATCACAGTCAATTTTTTTCTCGCCCGCGACCTCGTCCTCGCCCTCTCCCTCAACCTTGATCTTGCCCACTAGTATGTTTCCTTGCGCCCATCTTATACAACCCGACCTCAGTTGAGTATCAGCATTTTCTTCTTCTTCACATGCAATCTTCGCACCGGCAGCAAGTATTGACCTCTCTTTTACAATCTCAATACTACGATTCTCCTCCTGTAACAAGATTTGTACATAATACTTCTTCCGCAATCAATCCAGAAATTCATGCTTGCCGATTTGCTCGCATACTCTCCCAATCAAGTCAAAGGGCCAATTCTCTATGTAAAACATAGAGAAAATTCCACAACTTTGGATATCAGGTTGCATAATATGGGATGGCAACTCGACTGCGTAATGGGCGCCCCACAGTAGATTTGGAAATAAAATCCTTGCAGCTCGTCGAAAATAACCAAAAAGTCGCTGAAAAACCACTGAGTCTGATGTCCATCCATCAATAACATTTAAGCTATTGAAATAATAAATCTTCTTATGAAGAATGGACACGGAGAAAAGTACCCAATCGTTGGAGTGACAGTATGGGAAAAAGTACTGCAACAAGATATATAAAACCAATTCATCATTTTATAATGCACAAATCATCATCTCAAGTACGTAAACTCATCATTCCATATATACATTAAAAATACTCACATTATCAACCTTTAAGCACTCAATCCGATCATTACCAGCATATTCCAGATCCAATTTTCGATCTCATTCTTTGACTAGTTCTTTGTCAGTTTTTTGGGCAAAAATATTTTCAATCTCAACTCGCACCATATGCTATATGCATAAAAAAACATAGCATCAATTTATTTCTACCATAAGCATCCAATATTCCATGAGTTAGCATTTGGAATATAATCAATAATCATCTTCAATACAAAATTTAAGCACGTGCAAATAAATACTCATAGCCCTGTTGGACGAGACACAAAAATTGGACATTGAAACACCTTTATGGTTGCTTCTTCTGAAATCTGATCTGTTTAGGAAAGTACCAAACGCATCAACCACATTTCTTGCGACATCAGAAGAGGGCCATAGACTCCGGATATCATGCTTGAATATGACATTGATTCTATCCGAAAAAATAATGTCTCCCAAATCGGCAGCTGAGGCATGCTGTAAATAAAATGCTGATTTAACAGTCCTTTCTTCCTCCTCACGCAACTTAAACTCATCAAAAATGTTGTAAGATCTGTCATATGAAGAACAGAGAACTTTCGAGGGCATTCGATCCCGATGGACCTTAATTTCTTTCGTATGAAGCTTAGGAAGGGAGGACACTCGGGTAATTTTACACTGGAGGATATTGGAGATTGAATCTTTTCACGTTCATTTGATTCATACGATACCATTTCTTGTCAAATAACTTCATCAAGCTTTAAAAGAGTTTATATATTCATATATAAATAAAGCTAAAAAGCAAATAAAATTAGTTTTATCGTGCAAATACTCAAAGCAACCTTGCTTGGCGAACCTTCCTCCAAACGTCCAACAACACTCTCAATCTCTTGTGTTAACCCAAGTGAAAAAAAAAGACTCATTAGGTCAACATCAATTTTTTCATCACTTTTTTCTTTTTTTTTTTTTTTCTGGGAGGTTCACAATCTATTTCCTCAATTTGCATTGCCATTTCATTTTCAGTATTCACATATAACAATGATAAGGCATATGTTCTTAAGAAATTAAAAATATAAAGGATATAATGATTATCTAACAATAATCAATGACATACATATTAAAAATACTTGTTCTAGGATTTTGTTCTCCATGGACATCTTCTTTTCGCACGGCCAAATCGCACTCAACAAAATCCTATGACAATAATCAAGGCTAAGGTTTATATATATAGCAAATGTACAAGGAAAGCAATGGATATATAACAGAACAACATTAAATGTATAAACTCATACAATTAAAATCACCTTCTCAGCATTGTTTTTTTGTGAAGATCTTCTTCTTTTGCTCTTTTCTGCCATCAACAATTTCATCCTCATCGGCAGCTTCGTATTGCTCATCACCCTTAAACTTCATTTTGTAGTCTTGCTTTAAATTGTAAAGAACTTCCGACACCCGGGAATCTTGCTCTTTTACCATTTTATTGATTTTTTAGTTTCACTCTCCTATGTACCAGTCAAGGTATCGAGTCAGCATTCCAAAAATACTACTTTAGCATGTTGACAAGTATTACTTAGCATATCAGAGAGGAATAGTTAGCAAGCAGAACAAACAATATGTATATCATCTTCCTATGTATCAGTCAATGTATCAAACCAGCATTCCAAAAATACTACTTTAGCATGTCGACAAGTATTACTTAGCATATCATAGAGGAACAGTTAGCAGGTAGAACAAACAACCAACTCAACATATTCGAAGCTACATGTTTCAACTAGAATAGAAATTCTAACCTTCAAGGATCGAACACTTTGCAACATTTTTCAAAGTTAGTTTTCATGTAATATGACACGAAAAAAAATGCCTCTCACATTTTTTACTATGGAACTTGTCAGAAAATATATGTCAAAAATAGAAAAATAGTATTACACAAAGAGAAAAATATAAAACACAAAAGTAAGCAAAGGGATTATAATATTTTAATTTACCATTAAATGATGCATATCTCCAGATAGCCTTCCACTGACCAATGAATTTCTTCTTGAATTTTTTCGACATTGTATGCAGACCCTCAACAATCCTATCTTTCACATATTCAACCCAGTTAAACGCACTTGCTAACTCTCTGGACTCAAGGAACTAGAATATACCATGATTAATATTCGAATTGGATATAAGCATCAATAAAATACACATGCAGTACATAAATTATATCCTCTAATAGGCAACGTCACTCCTTAGCCTCCCACTTTCTAGTAAGTCCTTTAAAAAAGGCTCGGCAATATGTTTCTTATCCCTACTTATAAGTTTCATATCGAACGCAAATCTATCGGCAAAAGGGTAGCAAGAATCAGACTCATAGAAAGGAATCGGTTCTTTATTTTCCCCATATGGAAAACCATACACAACAACAACATCACGATCAGTAATATATCATATATTCTCATTAGATAAATGAAAATACTCAATTTTAGGGTCCCAAAGACTAAGTAATTTCATAATAGAAGTCACCGGAATAGGCATTGCTTTAACATGGAATAGCCCTTTGAAAAAACTAGATTGAATATACCTCCTAATCCTGTCATGGAAAGGGTGTTGTAAAGACTCGTTTAGGTGTGCGAATTTCCTGGTAACACATGATAGTTTGATAATAAGGTCCTTCGAACCGGAAGCCTTCGGCATTATTGATGGGTTTCGATGAGTTTGGTTTAATTGAACTAGGGCTTCGAGAGAAATAAAAATTAAACTCAAAATAGGGCTTCTCCACAAACTACAACAACACAAAGAGAAACAAAGATTAAACAACGATTTAACTTAAATAAGATGGAAGAAGATAAACATTTAACCTAAACTGCGTTGAAATCATATGAATGATGAAAATGACATAACTTACCCGAAACTTAGACACGAAGAGCGATGATGAATCGCGTCCATGAACGCGTCTGGCCTCGTCGATTTGAAGACGAAGATCGAGGGAAGATTTTTCACCGTAGTGGAAAATAAGGAACGAATGGAGAATGAAAAGTTCGCCTCAACCCAGTAACTTTTGTAAATCAAATTTACTATCCTACCTCTATTTAATCTAAACTATTTGATTTTAATATATTATGATGAACGACTCGTATCGTATCAGTATGGTGCTGATGGGTCCGCCTCCAAAATTGTTTGTTAATGGTTGAGTTTAAATTGCTTAACTTGGTAAAAATTATTTGTTAATGGTTGAGTTTCAATTGCAAGTTAAGTTGGAAGTACGGATGAGAATGGGTCGGTCCAACCTGATCGAAATTCAATTTGAATATTGTTGGACCCAAAACTTAAATTAAATTTGACTTTATTCAAATATGATCATATTTGGATTCCACTCGAATAATATCTGATAAGATAAGATGGATCCGACAGACATGCAAATTGTTTTTTGTAATTCTTAAAAATTAACTTAAAATTGGACCCGAACCCGACATATGTTAAAATTTTATGTATTTTAATAAAAAATAAATTAATTAAACAAAAAATATATATGTTTATTATAATTTATATTATTAGAAATTACCTTTTATATAATTGATATATTATTAATATTACTCAGGTCCGAGGCGGGGCCGGGCCTGGGTAGGGTTCACCACTAGACACAAGATTCGACTCGGACACAATAAGAGTACACAATACGCGGTTCATACCCAACCCGATACCCAAATAATTTAACACAGTCCCAAATAAATGGGTCGGATTCAAATCGAGTATCGAATCTAACCAAACTTATTGTTATTCTTAATTGAAAGTTATTTATTTAATTAATATTTGATTATTATAAAACATGAATAATATTTTATAAAAAATATTTTTTTTAATAAAATAATAAAAATAATAAATATTTAATAATTATATAAATTAATTTTATAAAGAATAGAAAATATTGAATTTATACAATTATATTTATTTATTAAAAAGAAATAGAAAATAATTTTTTTTAAAGCAAATTCTATATAATGAATTATTTAGAAAAAAAATACATATAGCACCAATTCGAATTGAAACGGCAATCGCAACCAGACACACTTAAGGTTGAGTTTTTAAATTTTTTGTTTTTGGGGGGCCAGGCGAAGAAGAGAACAAAGCAAAAAAAGGAAAAAAAAAAAAAAGAAAAAGAAAGCAACACAACCACCAGAGAAAATCAACTTGGAAATTACCCAAACATCCAAGTTCTCAATGAAAAACGGGCCACAGGATTGTCAGCCGTGTTTGCTGCCAAGCAAGTTAAGACCGCATCCAGAGGGAAAGCCCAAACTGTATACATTTGATCACCTATACTTCATAATTTAGCAAGAATGCCCGCAACATAATTTCCCTCCCGGTGAATGTGATAAAGCCGATAATCATTTTGATTAAAGAGGAGTTGACGAATACCACAAATAATCGAAGCAAGGGGATGAGTTTGAGCACGCTCTTGCTGGATCAATTTGATAGAAATCGCAGAGTAAGAATAAGCAACTAGTGTAGCAATGCCTAGCTCCTGTGTGAGTCTCAGTCCATGCCACAAGGCAAGAAGTTGTGTCATGAGAATTGACGAACCCCCAGTAGAGCCAGAAACTCCACTGACCCACTCACCATTCTGGTTCCTGATGACTGCGCTATAACTCAAAATATGCTAATTCCTTCTTGAACTTCCATCCGTGTGTAGGAAATAATCCGCATGTCTTCCTTGCTGCCATGTTATCCATCGAAGACTCGAAGATGTTGTTTCCGGTTTAGTAAACAATCGGGTAAATGTTCTGGCCAAAAGTTTAATAATTAAATTAAGCCCATGTTCTCTCATTTTTTTAATAATTAAATTAAGCTCATGTTCTCCAGCATTATTTTTTAATTGCGATTCTCTAAAAATAATAATAATAAATATAAAATATATTTTACATAAGTAGGAAAAAAAAAAACTTCAAATACAAAGTATAGAAAGTTGTAAAGTCAAAAAAATTTCAAATACTCATTATAGAAAATAAAAAAGTCAAATATTCAACTTTAAATAATATACTTGTTTTATATTTTTGACACAATTCTTTATATCACACCCCAAAAATCAATCCATCTAAAAATGCTGAGTGAAAAGACATATTTAATATATCATAAATATCCTTTGAATTAAATATATAGTATTATATATTTATATTAAATGTAAATCTAACACTTATTATTAAAATTGATTTATTCACTTTGTATAATAAAACATGGAAAATAATATTCACTTTATTCCAATTTAAAGTACCTCTTTTTTTTTTTTATCATTTTTGTCCATTATGCTCAAAAGTATTTATTTCCTATTACTATAAAAATTGTCACATACTAATACCAAAATACTCTTTAATTTATACATAAATTATAAATATACAATTACATATACTGTTAATTTATATATTATTATGAAATTTTAGGATCGAAAAACAAATTTTCTTTACGAAATCAAGCAAAATACAATGAAAAACCAAACTAGTAAATGATTTCATCCAATAAGCAAAGACACTTTGAGTTAACGAGGACATTTGAGGCTAAGACCCCCAAAGCACTCAACTTACACAAAATCACAAAATAGCAAAATAAATATACCAAAATCGCAATAAATACACAACCATTGGTCCTAATACCTCTTTATAAACCAAACAAAAAAAATAATAAAAATCCCAAAATAGAAAGTAGGAAAGATGATACTGTTACTCCGAAATATTCTCGAGCCACCGGAGGTGACTAGCAGTCCAGCTCGGAGGAGTAGATGGGCCGACCCAAACAGCCCCAATCCAATCCCAATTTATGTACGGATAAGGACAAGTTTTTAATATGAATGAGGGAGATAATGAGGGAGTGATCAAAGAAATTTTCTAAATAAATAATAGGAAATTGGAGAAAATGATGCAAAAAGAATGGGAAAAGTGAGGATATTACGGATAAGACTTATCAAATGCTATTTAAAGGGGAGCCAAGATATGAGACAATCCAGCTTTATCTATTTTGCTTTCTTGTTTGTTTTTTTTTTCTTATTTTTGTTTCTAAATTCATGTTATTTTTTCAATTATCCATTTCATAATCCGATTCCTTTTTGTTTAGGCTACTTTCTTCCGACTCTGTCAATTTAGTAGTTTAATTTACAGTATAGTTACAATCGTTAACTTTCATTGTGAGACCAAGCCTGGATACTTTCTTGGGTAGGATGGGGAATCCAATTCTCGTCGATTTTGATTAGCCTAAATCCGTTGGGCCGTCATTGACGAATTTCAATGATAATAGATTGGCACGTCTGGTGGGACTCCGATGAGTCCCGTATCTCATGCAATTAAGGAATTGCAAACTACCATCTCCGGACAACACCGCTATGTCAAAAGAAAAAGGAGTCGCCGGAAAAAATTCGGCGTCACATGTTTCCGGAGAGATCACACACGATGAGTACTCTACAGCTCTGGAAGATGTGGAAAGAATGGTGACGATTCCGACTAGCATTTTACAGGACCAGATCCGGAAGGAGATCCAAGCGGCACTCCATGGGTCGGCGTTGGAACTTTCCCGGTACATTATGGATGTCTTAAAGCCCACCATCCACGATGAGTTCTCACGGATGAGGGACGAGGAAACGCGCAAGGGCAAGCCACCGGCGGACAACCCCGAAATTGCTAGAAATGACCCTCCGACAAGCGCAACGCATGGGGGAACGGCTTGATCACCTCCGGTGTCACTCCAGTATGGCAACATGACCATACTAGCCAAAGGAAATGGAGGCAGGGGCTTCTCGGAGGAGACAATGGCCGAAGGACCTTGGCGGTCCTCGGGACAGGCCACCGTAAGGCAGCCGCCATAACAAGGACATCCGAGAAGCGGTAGATGTGCACAATCCATGTCCCAATGGTGTGCCAACCCTCTATTCGGCGGAATTGGCGCCCCTACATCACCCACGGATATAAACACTCAAGGAAACTTATTGTTCGGAGAAGAAGCAACCGACCATTGGGGGGCATGGCTGATGACGGCTTCAATACCTCCGTTCGCCCTATCAGCCTCTGGACTTGCTTGGGGGGCATCCGTTCCATCTTCAAACACATTCTTGGGGGCAGCACCACCACCTCCAGGCCCATGGAGGGCAGCTTCGTCATCGGTAACGAAGAGTATGAGCAACCCTTCCACCATGTTCAGCTAGGCCTGGGGCAGCCCGGAGGACACGCCGAGATTGCTCTTCCGCCACAACCGGTTATTAATCCACAAACCATCGAAGAAGCAATTCGGAGGTTGTATGGTAACCCTATTTGGCTACCCGTTAGGCCCTATTATCAATGTTCATTTCCGGATCAAGTTGTCATCGACTATCTGCTACCCCGGAACGCACGGGTTCCAGACTTCACGTTGTTCTCGGGAGAAGATTCACGGTCTACTATCGAGCATATCAGCCGGTTTACGGCACAATATGGAGGAGAGTTCGAGACAAACGAATGGTTTAAACTCTAATTATTTTTGTTGACTCTCACAGGGCCGGAATTTACGTAGTACGCATCTTTGCCGCCAAACTCGTGAAACACTTGGGCAAATCTTGAAAGGATATTCCATGGGCGCTTTTATAACCCACTGCCGGAGGTGACGGTGCGGATCTAACCAACCTATAACAGAAGCATGATGAACCGGTGAAGCAGTTTTGGGAAAGATTCCGCAAGGCAGAGGGGCGGTCTCAAGTCTGGATACCTGAAAATCAAGTGGTCAATATAGCCATTGATAACATGACACATCAGCTCCGAGAGAAGTTGGCCCTCCAAGAGTATAACGACCTTCAACTGCTTACCGGGAAAGCAGTGAAGGTGGAACAACTTCTCCGGGATGCCTATACTGCCGGATATCATAAATTTGAAAACGGAGCACACATGGTCCAGATTCAAGAGAAGAATCTAGACTGCCCGGACATGTCAGAGATGAAAATCTAAACAGATCCATTCCCGGCTCCGATCAATGCTATTGGTGTCCGACCGGCTCGAGGGAAACAGTCAGCCCCGTGTGTTAGGCATAGTCCTAGACGAACCGCCCTGAAGAGAAATGTGCTAGAGCGGCTTGGGAGATCATCAAACCTCCACGAAGAAACTCAGCATGGGATCGCCTTTCGCCCAATAACACCGTCTCCGAAGTTAGTTTCAAAGAAAAGGGCTAGATTTGGCAAGTAACTTTGGTTGACCAGGTGGTGATAACTCCTCACCTCATGCAATAACCTGAACAGCCCCCGGAGGACGGGAGCTGGTCCAAAAATCGAAAAGTGAGGAATCAACATCTTATTAGGATTCAACGGAGAAGGCAGCAGCGGCAGCTCCGGGCAGCCCATTTTATCTCGGAGGAACAAAAGCAACAACACGGACAACCTCAGAAAGGTCGTGTGCAGATTGTTGCAAATGGAGATCTGCCAAAAACGGAAGAATTACTCCCCCGGAGAAGAAGACGATGGGAATGATGGCCGAAACAGGTTGTCCCGGAGGGCAAAAGCGATTTGGAATAGTAGGCTCCCCCAAAGGTTCCAGAAGCACCTATTTTGGAGAACGAGCCGGTCATTGAAGCATTGGAAGACGATAAGACATCACTTGCAAGTCTGGAAATCATCGCAAATGATCGGGACTTGGAACAAGCGTTACACTACGAAAAAGATTTCTATGTAAATACTATCGGCATCTTGCCTAAGGAGTTCGTAGAGACTTGGATGGAATGCAATGAAAGGATTCAAAATCCTAATGGATGCCAATGCACGGCCTGCTTGCCAATTTATTCATAATGAATAGGGATCAATAAGTGATATGGGACCTTGAGGGACTGATTTACGAGACATACAGTGCCATCGGAGGACCCGAATCTATCCCGGTGCGTACTCTTGAGATGCGAACACATTCCTCATGTCCGCCACTTTGCTCAGAGGATCAAAATAGAAAAGAGCTTTCCTCTTCCATCTGGAAGGCTAATCTATCGTTTGAGGCTCAGGATCCTGTTGAAGAAATCAATCTTGATGACGATTTGGCCCCCCGGATGACGCAGATTAGTTTGTTGCTACTCCCGAATGCTGCGGATCAGCTCATTGTTACCTCCAGAACAAAAACAATGATTGATAGCTTGGAGCTGCTTTGCATGGGATTACCACAAAATGTCGGACTTATCTAGAAGTTTGGTGGAATATCGGCTACAAATCTCAAACAAAAAATATTGGGCTTCATAATTCGACAAACGTTTTGACCAAATATTTTTATGTGGGGCATTTGTTACTCCAAAATATTCTCGGGCCTCCGGAGGTGACTAGCGGCCCAGCTCGAAGGAGTAGATGGGCCAACCCAAACAGCCTCAATCCAACTCCAATTTATGTACGGATAAGGACAAGTTTTTAATATGGATAAGGAAGATAATGGGGGAGTGATCAAAGAACTTTCCTAAACAAAAAATGAAAAATTGGAGAAAATGATGCAAAGAAAATGGGGAAGTGGGGATATTATGGATAAGTCTCATCAAATGCTAATTAAAGGGGAACCAAGATATGAGAAGGGGGATCCATCCAAAAAAATAAATACACACGATCCAAATTTATCTATTTTGCTTTCTTGTTTGCTTTTATATTTTTGTTCCTAAATTCCTGTTATTTTATCAATTATCCGTTTCGTAATCCGATTCCTTTTTGTTTTTGCTGCTTTCTTCTGATTATGTCAATGTAGTAGTTTAATTTCCCGTATAGTTACAATCGTTAACTTTCATTGCAAGGCCAAGCTCGGATACTTTCTTGAGTAGGTTGGAGAATCCAATTCTCGTCGATTTCAACTGGCCTAAATCCGTTGAGCCGTCATCGAAGAATTTCAAAGATAATAGATACAAAACGTGAATAATTATACGTCACACAAACAATTGAAAGCCAGAACCGATGACACCAAAACTCTTGCAGTTCGATTCGTTCAGAAGGGGGAAGAACATACAGAAAACTCCACATAACAGGAGAAGATGGGCGCCATAGAAGAGATATGGCAACGAAGATGGTGAGGCTAGAGAGAGAGAGAGAGAGAGTTGTATATAAAGAGAGAAATAGTGAGGTAGATTATGTGATGTATTTTTTTCTTCACAGTTTGTATTGTCTTGCCTACTTTCTATTTTGAGGGTTTTTTTATTTTTGTTTGTGAAGAGGTATTAGGATCGGTGGTTGTGTGTTTGTCGCGATTTGGGTATATTTTTATTGATATTGTGTGATTATGTTTTTCGAGTGGTTTGGGGGCCTGAGCCTCAAATTTCCTTGTTAACTCATGGTGTATTTGCTTGTTGAATGAAATTCTTTAGTAGTTTGGTTTTCATTGTGTTTTGTTTTATTTTTTAAAGAAAAATTGTATTCCTAAAATTTCATAACAGTTGGTATCAGAGCCACGATCGAGTATTTCTTTTATGAAATCGTATTTTTCGCTTTTGATTTTGGAAGGATCTACTTATCCCTAAGAGATCCGTGTAAAAATCTAAAGGATCTAGTTAAATCAAACCTATTTCAGTGAGTTCGGTTCTTCTCCTTTAAGTTTGTGTCAAAATTGGTCCATTGTGTTTCAATCCATGGTAATATAGCACTGGTCAAGCTGTTAATATGTTTATTTAAACAAAACTACTACTGAATTGTGTATATTGGTGGAGTTCGACTGTATTTTGGCTGTTTTGAGTAATTTTTTTTTTTGCTTCACCTTATTTTGTTGAGATTTTTGTTTGTTTGGTTAAAATCTAAAAATTTTTCAAAATCTTTTATATTTTTTGATAGAAATAATTTAGATACTGAAAACCATCTGTGTTTGGTTAAAAGTTTGTCAAAATCGTCTTTGTTTTTCGGTTAAAATCTTTTAGTCCAAATTGTTTTTGTAAATCTTGCTTGATCCTTATTGGTGGCCTATTATTATCTCAGTTTTTGTCCGATTTGTGCATTAAATCTCCTAAACTTGTATTTATGTGATTCTAACATTTGGTTAGAAGAGAAATTCTATGAGTCTTGTCTTGTAATATTTGTTCTTGTTTAGCTAACCGCTCCTCTTGAAAGAAAAGACATTTCAGTGTGTTTTTTCTTGTTATTTTTTGTAAGAAGAATTTTTGTTGTTCTTTGAGGGAAACTTCTAAATCCCTTTGCCTTTTGTGTTCATTATTCTCTGTTTGTTTATTTTCGAATAATGAAGGTCTTGCGAAGGAATAAGGCGAGGGTTGAGGATTGTATTCCTATAAAAGCAAATGAAACACTATCAGACTAGTTGTTTCGATGGAACACAACAGTGTGTTGATCTTTCAGCTCGTACGTGCTCGTGTAGAAGGTGGCAATTAAGTGGGATACCTTGTCATCATGCGATTTCGGTAATTGGGAACCAAGGCGAGGATGTGGTAAGCTATATGGAGCAGTTTTATTCAGGTAAGACATATAACAAGGTGTACGCATTTTCAGTTAAAGCAATCAACTCTGAAAAATTTTGGGAGTCAACAGACTTTGTTCCACTGAAGCCACTGCCGGTTAAAAAAGGGGTGGAAAAACCAAAGAAGTTGCGAAAGAGAAAGGCCGGAGAGGCTAGGAAAAAAATTTGTGACCAAGGATGGTACAGATAGGCTAAAAAGAGTTCAAAAATCCATTGCGCGTGGGAATTGTGATGGAGTTGGGCACAACTCACTTCATTGTCCTTAAAAGGAACCGTTCGAAAGACTTTCTCAGGTACGCCAACAAAAATGTTCATCTATGTCTTGATCCAATATTAGTACAATTATGTACTTAAAGTACTATTGATGTTGACATACCGTAGCTTCGGCACGTCGAGGTAGACGAAAGCCAAGTGCAACATATATTCCCCCGAGGCGAATTGTAAGCATTAGTTTAAGTCACTTGATTGTTTTACACGGATTATGAAGGACTAACTTATTAAATTTAGACATGTAGTTGCGATTGAAAGCTAACAGTGAGACCTTATAAGAAGATGCAGTTTCATTGGAGGTCACCATGTCTGCGTTATGAGACATTCCAATGCAAACATCACGGTCTATTTCAATTGCCAAAAGTTTGCTACAGCTAGATTTTTTTGGATAGTAGAAAAAGTATTGCGCTCTCTAGTAACCAGATATATATTATATATATATATATGTGTATGCTCACAGGATGTCCCATGTCTGCTTCCACTTTCACCTAGACAAGGACAACACCGTCGGGAAAGGCATACCATAGATTCTGATCTGATTGATATTCAGATCTCCCATGTATGTTGACTGTTAAGAAATGTTGGTTTTTTATGCACCACTATTGTAAACAGATTTTTTTGTTTCTTTTATCATGCACCATAGAAAAAGCAACATGAAAAGATACCATTGCCACCTCAATCCCGACAAATGCGTGAACAACAACAACAAAAGGGTAAGGGTAAGGACAAAATAGATGAACTAACACCTGAATCGTCTCATCCGGTGGATGGTATTACTGTGCAGTTACATAGTATTAAAAATTACAGCCCTTAAAAATTATATTCCTCGCGTGTTTTTGATTTATGGTGTTGAATATTTTAATGCCAGGGAACTCCACTATATGGACCTTTGATGTTCAAGCAATGCAACAATGGAACCAAGAAGCTACCAACGCAGGTCATACTCCCCCTATCCGATATGCCAGCTGGTGTTCGGGCATTGGAAATTAGACGGATCATACGCCATCACAATTCATCAAGCCTTGCAAACTACAAATCGCAACACCTACATTAAATACTTAATTATAAATCAACCTACATTTCCAAATATCCTACGCCATAACAATCCATCAAGCCAACATAAACTTCTGTCTTACATCACCACAATTCTACAAATCAATATACACTTTGAAAATCATCCCACACATAAGTAATCTTACGCAAGATAGGGCAACAATCTTCTTCCTCACCCTTTCACTGTGAAGCTTCAATGTTGTCATTTCATTTTCCGTCTCATTTAGTTTCTTCAACAACCCGAGAATGACGGCTTTGGCCCTTGCACACGTTGGAGGGTCCTCCCAGGAAAAATATCCGCAACCTGCTTCAACACATCGCTTAAACAACAAATGCCACATCAAAATTCATATACATCCAACAACACTCTAATCCAAAATATAAACATATATCTGCATACTCACTAGAAGTTTGGTGAAAGAAGTAAATCTTCAACCTGAAGTTTTGTTCGTCCATAAAGTCCGAATAACACTCTTTCGCCCACAATGACATTCGATGCAAGCATTCATAGTTGAAGACGATGACATTATGCCCAAATAAAAAACCTATAAATAAAATGAATTGAATCGATTTTAGCAATCACAATTCCCGCAAACCTACTGAAAAACTTACACAAATTGAAAATGACGAAGAAAGAAGAAAGGGTGAGGAGTCGACAACGAAGAGAAGGGGTGATGAATCGCACGGCCACAATACCTGCTTGGCAGGGCTCATTCGGCCGCGGCGATAAAAGGCCCACTGTGTTCTTCGGTGTGAGGAGTCGACGGTGGAAAAAAAAGGGTGATGAATCGCGCAAGAAGGAAAATGGGCTGGAATATGCAAGAATTTTCTAATTTTGTTCAATTGGACCAATTTTTTTTTTTTTAAAGGCAATTAAATTTTAAAAACAATAATTAAATAATAAAAATCCACATGTCTGCCAGGTCAGCAGCACCCGGCAGACACACGGCCTCCGGCGAGCCACACGGGCATTTCCGGTACTGGAAGACTAAAACTGCAAAAAAATTTCACTGACGAAACTAGTTTACAACAGGTCCACTTACGAGACTAAAATGATAAAAGAATCTAGTAATAGGACTAAAAAAATAGTTTTAAAAAAAATTTAAAAAATAAAAATTCAGAAGTATAAAAACTAAAATTTCAAAAATTTAAAAAATAAAAAATAAAATAACATAAATAAGAAATAACATTTAAAAATTATAAAAAAAAGTAAAAAATTTATATTTTAAAATAAAATAAAAATCAAATCAAAATAATTTTTTTTCTATTGTTTATTTATTTGAATATTTTATATTTTTATATTTTTTAGCTTTTAAAAAAAATAAAAAGGAAATTATCCACATGTTTGACAGATGACGCTGACCTAGAGGACACGTGTCCTTCGACATGTTACGTAAATATAAATATAAATTGAAATGATTTATAACAAATTATTAGTGTAATTATTTAAAATTTTTGTGTTTGGTTTCTCTTATTTACTGTTCATCTGTTTTTTTTTTTTTCAAAAATAAAAAGTCTAACTTTCATTTTAAATTTTTTTATACTATAAAAAAAATAATTTTATATTTGAATAAGACTGTTAAAAAGGAAAAGTTGACGTAATTAGAACAGAACTAAGTATAAAATAATATATTTAATAAATATTTTACTTTAAAATCTATTTTTTTTAAAAAAAAAATTATAAACACAATAAATATTATATGTAAAAGGAAGATAGATGCTTGTTTTGACCAATTCAATTCATTTTTTCTTAAATTCATATATCCTAATCTAAGTATTAAATGTCATAATTTTGACTTTGACTTCAAACTGAATGATGTATAGATTGTATTGAATTATGAAAATAATTATTGATATCACATATATATAATAATATGGGAATCATTTGAATAAAATTAAAATATTTTATATGATTAATTTTTGATATTCTAAATATTGGAGATTGATGGATTTTATCGGTTAAATATAGATATTAAAAAAATAATGTTTATATATAATATTAGTGGTGTTTATTTATATTTTTATAAGTAATTTTTAAAATTATAATTTAATTGAAAATTATGTTGATCGAAAGTTTAAAAAGTCTTAACAAAGCTAAAGTTAAATTTTATTAACTTGTCATGTTATTTTAATATAATTAAACTATAAAGTAAATTTTTTTATTTGGATAATTATGTCATTTTTTTATCAGTTAACTTATGCATAATTCATTTATAATAAAAAAATTATCCACCTATAATTTTATTATCTTTATTTCTTAGTTTTCATGTCCTGATAATATAACATAAAATGTCTGGACGAAAAAAATAAAAAATAATTTATAATCTACTTGTTTATCCTGAACAATATATATTTATATCAGCTAATTTAAATATTATTATCGAAAAATTAATTTATCATCTTTTCAATATCTTTATCTTTCTAATATTATATATACGAAAAACAAAAAAATAACATATAAATAACATCACATTTTTATAAATAGTTATTGTTAAATTGAAGTTTTTCTATTATTAAAAATAATAAAATAAATAATATATTATTATTATTATTATTATTATTATTATTATTTTACAGTCCAGCCCATCACCGTCCCATTTTTTCTTTTACTCCCCTCGTCCCATAAAGAAGTATTTATTTGCTTTTTGCACGTAGTTTTAAAAATATTAGTATTATATTGGGATATAGTACGAATAAAATAGAAATGACTAAAATAATTTTGTTAGTATGTGTCATATAAACGTAATGACATTTGTGTAATATCTTGTAAGTTGTAAAGGTATTTGTAATGTTAGGTAGATAGAACAGTTAATAAAAAAAGAAAATAGATACTTTGTTATAGGACAGACGAAAATAGAAAAATAAATACTTTGTTATGGGACGGACAAAGTATATTTTATTATTTAAATACTGGCTCCAAAAAAAAATTTTTAAAAAAAAGAGAAAAATTGTTAAACTTATGTTATTATTATTATTTGATAGATTTATATATAATCTATTTATAATGTTACTTTAATATATAGGAATAATTTTTGCACTATTTTTCATTTACTTATTATTTTTTTATATTTTGTAATACAATTTTTATTATACATACTCCTAATTTATTATATATATTTTATCTATTTATTTTCATTTAAAATAATATTACTTTTTTCGTACAACTAAAATTTCATAATTTCAAATCAAATTTAATTTATTTAAAATATAAATTTTCATAAAATTTTGTTATAGTTTAATGAATTTTTGTCATAATTAAAACTTGTAAAAATCACACATATATCAATCTATATTTAAAGCATATAAATTTTATTCTATCCGTCTTAAAATAATAGTTCTATTTTTCTATTTTTGTTCATCTTAAAACAATAGTCTCATTTACATCTGTTGGGATATGAAGCCTGATTATATCCTAAATTCTAGGGATATGATTTGGATAATATATTTTAAATTTTAGAGATATGGTTTGGATATTATTGTCAAAGGCTTAGGCTATATAAATATCCATGTATTTTCACTTTAACATGTGTCTGCGTAGTAAAATTCCTGGCTTGGCAGCGCCCCCAGACGTAGATTATCGTGATTGAACTGGGTTACCAAATCTTGTGTTCTTTTGTCTTTGTTATCTCATCTTGATTTCCTGGGAATTTCCATAACAACATCAATAAATATATTACAATAAAAATTTCATTACATTTTTGTTATTATTACGAAAATTTCACTATCTTTTTTACAGCAATACTCACAGTGACAAAAAATATTTTTACTCATATTTTTTTACCATATACTAATATAATATCAATATTCTTATATCCTGGATCGAACTCAAATAAGGCTTGTCTTCATAGACGGAGGGAGTATTATTTATACTAATTATAAAAAATTTAATATCTAAATTTATTGATATTAAAAATAATATGCAATACATATAAATTTTTTAAAAATAGCTTTTCAAATATATAAATTTATTTTTTGTATTTAATTGTGTTATAGAAAATTTTATTTTCTAAAATAAAATAAATAATAATAAAGTATATTTATAAAATTAAATATAAATATATCTTTAAAGTGTGCGGCTTTCCCTTTTTCTTATTTTTTTTACTTTTGTTTTATGGTGGGGCCACATAAAAAAAAAAGAAAAAATAGAAAATACCAGAGAAAGAAACGATGGTGATACAGAATCAATGCTAAATATATGTATAGTAGATATTTGAAAGATGTATCACTAGGTGTGTTTGGCAATTAGCTGATAGCTGTTTGTATTAAAATGTTTGGTAAAATAACAGTTTGATATTAGTTGTTTATATGTAAAATGAAAATTAAGGATATTTTATATTTTATTTCAAAATATTTAGTTGAGTTTTTTTTGGTTGGTAGACTTTTTATAATTTTATTATTAATTTTAGAAATTAGAAAAATTTTAGTAAAATATTTATTTTGATTATTTTAAAAATATTTTGTAAAGAATTAATGCAATCTTGTTGAAAAATATATATTTTTTTGTTAGAAATAGTATAAATATAAAAGAACAAAAATTATTAGCATATGTATTTTTATTAGATTAATTTTTAATTAATATATATTTACATTAAATTTATAATTTTAAATAAATATATTTACTTTTAATAAAAATATTATGTGATAAAAAATACTATATATTTGATTCAATAATATTGATATTTTTATATTATCTTTATTCAAAAACATTTTTTAAAAAAATTATAAATAAGATAATTGATATATAAAAAAAATAATTATTTTAAATTTATAAATAGGAATTTATAAGTTATTAGAAGAAAATATATCTAAATTATTAGTAAATAGTGTAATAAAAAAATATAGGAATATATGTGAAAAAATTAATTAATTTTAAGAACAAATAAGGTATAAGAAAAATTTAAATGAAAAAACTAATTTGGAACGCTGGTATATAGCTTTGTGAAATGGAGTATCGTTGCAACAAAACAGAGTTCAAAGATGGTAGCAATGTGAAATGAAACAATCCTGAGATTCAT